CTACACCCCACCACCCACCGTCAAGTATGGCCAGCCACCACTACACCCCCACCACCCACCGTCAAGTACGGCCAGGCACCACTACACCCCACCACCCACCGTCAAGTATGGCCAGCCACCACTACACCCCCACCACCCACCGTCAAGTATGGCCAGGCACCACTACACCACCACCACCCACCGTCAAGTACGGCCAGCCACCACTACACCCCACCACCCACCGTCAAGTATGGCCAGCCACCACTACACCCCACCACCCACCGTCAAGTACGGCCAGGCACTGCTACACCCCACCACCCACCGTCAAGTATGGCCAGGCACTGCTACACACCCACCACCCACCGTCAAGTATGGCCAGGCACTGCTACACTCCCACCACCCACCGTCAAGTATGGCCAGGCACTGCTACACCCCCACCACCCACCGTCAAGTACGGCCAGGCACTGCTACACCCCACCACCCACCGTCAAGTACGGCCAGCCACCACTACACCCCACCACCCACCGTCAAGTATGGCCAGCCACCACTACACCCCACCACCCACCGTCAAGTATGGCCAGCCACCACTACACCCCACCACCCACCGTCAAGTACGGCCAGCCACCACTACACCCCAACGGTGTAGGTACACTGTACCTACACCGTTGGACTAGTACATAGTACCGGTGTAAGTACACAGTTTCTACACCGGTACTTGTCATCTACAATCATTCAAGAACCATTTATGTAGTATTAGTTTAACTGGCAGAAACTTTAGTCTTTCCCTAATTTAGGCTATGTAATGTTGACTGAACCTAATGTTGTTATACCCGGCAGTAGGAGCGCCTGGCAGCTGAGTGGACAGCGGTTCGGATTTGTAGTGCTGAGGTTCCGGGTTCGATCCCCGGTGGAGGCGGAGACAAATGGGCAAAATGTTCCTTTCACTCTGATGTTTCTGTTACCTAGCAGTAAATAGGTACCTGGGAGTTAGACAGCTGCTGCAGGCTGCTTCCTGTGGGGAGGGGGGGGGGGCGGTAACAAAAAGAAGGCCTGGTCGAGGACCGGGCCGCGGGGACGCTAAGCCCCGAAAACATCTCACAAGATATAGGCTATTGTAACTTTGGTGTTTCTCACCGAGTTACTGCTCCAATCACCATTATTTTTTTTATTATTATTTTCTACCACAGACGTGGCCACACATTAACAATGCTAACCAGCATATGTACATTTTCTTCCGTTCGGGGAGTTCACTCTATTCCCTCCCATGTGAGCGGGGACGCCAGAGGACAGGCAAGCAACGGTAGTGTGTGGGCACACAGCCAGGAACACTGCCCCAAGACTGCCTACTCTCCACAACTGAATAGTTGCCCATGTTATTGCAATATTAGAGACTGTTCTCTAGTACCATCTCCTCCACTCACCTGTCCGCTTATCTCTATATTATCTTCTACACCGCATAACTTGGCATTATTAACATTAATATATTTTGTTTTGCATATGTTAAGTGCCAACTGTGTAAGTGCCAGCTGCGTGTGTGGTATAAGTGCCAGCTGCGTGTGGTATAAGTGCCAGCTGTGTGTGGTATAAGTGCCAGCTGTGTGTGGTATAAGTGCCAGTTGTGTGTGGTATAAGTGCCAGCTGCGTGTGGTATAAGTGCCAGCTGTGTGTGGTATAAGTGCCAGCTGTGTGTGGTATAAGTGCCAGTTGTGTGTGGTATAAGTGCCAGTTGTGTGTGGTATAAGTGCCAGCTGTGTGTGGTATAAGTGCCAGCTGCGTGTGGTATAAGTGCCAGCTGTGTGTGGTATAAGTGCCAGCTGTGTGTGGTATAAGTGCCAGCTGTGTGTGGTATAAGTGCCAGCTGCGTGTGGTATAAGTGCCAGCTGTGTGTGGTATAAGTGCCAGCTGTGTGTGGTATAAGTGCCAGTTGTGTGTGGTATAAGTGCCAGCTGCGTGTGGTATAAGTGCCAGCTGTGTGTGGTATAAGTGCCAGCTGTGTGTGGTATAAGTGCCAGCTGTGTGTGGTATAAGTGCCAGTTGTGTGTGGTATAAGTGCCAGCTGTGTGTGGTATAAGTGCCAGCTGTGTGTGGTATAAGTGCCAGCTGTGTGTGGTATAAGTGCCAGCTGCGCCTGGTATAAGTGCCAGCTGCGCCTGGTATAAGTGCCAGCTGCTCCTGGTATAAGTGCCAGCTGCGTGTGTGGTATAAGTGCCAGCTGCGTGTGGTATAAGTGCCAGCTGTGTGTGGTATAAGTGCCAGCTGTGTGTGGTATAAGTGCCAGTTGTGTGTGGTATAAGTGCCAGCTGCGTGTGGTATAAGTGCCAGCTGTGTGTGGTATAAGTGCCAGCTGTGTGTGGTATAAGTGCCAGTTGTGTGTGGTATAAGTGCCAGTTGTGTGTGGTATAAGTGCCAGCTGTGTGTGGTATAAGTGCCAGCTGCGTGTGGTATAAGTGCCAGCTGTGTGTGGTATAAGTGCCAGCTGTGTGTGGTATAAGTGCCAGCTGCGTGTGGTATAAGTGCCAGCTGTGTGTGGTATAAGTGCCAGCTGTGTGTGGTATAAGTGCCAGTTGTGTGTGGTATAAGTGCCAGCTGCGTGTGGTATAAGTGCCAGCTGTGTGTGGTATAAGTGCCAGCTGTGTGTGGTATAAGTGCCAGCTGTGTGTGGTATAAGTGCCAGTTGTGTGTGGTATAAGTGCCAGCTGTGTGTGGTATAAGTGCCAGCTGTGTGTGGTATAAGTGCCAGCTGTGTGTGGTATAAGTGCCAGCTGCGCCTGGTATAAGTGCCAGCTGCGCCTGGTATAAGTGCCAGCTGCTCCTGGTATAAGTGCCAGCTGTGTGTGGTATAAGTGCCAGCTGTGTGTGGTATAAGTGCCAGCTGTGTGTGGTATAAGTGCCAGCTGTGTGTGGTATAAGTGCCAGCTGCGCCTGGTATAAGTGCCAGCTGCGTGTGGTATAAGTGCCAGCTGCTCCTGGTATAAGTGCCAGCTGCGCCTGGTATAAGTGCCAGCTGTGTGTGGTATAAGTGCCAGCTGCTCCTGGTATAAGTGCCAGCTGCGCCTGGTATAAGTGCCAGCTGTGTGTGGTATAAGTGCCAGCTGTGTGTGGTATAAGTGCCAGCTGTGTGTGGTATAAGTGCCAGCTGTGTGTGGTATAAGTGCCAGCTGCGCCTGGTATAAGTGCCAGCTGTGTGTGGTATAAGTGCCAGCTGTGTGTGGTATAAGTGCCAGCTGTGTGTGGTATAAGTGCCAGCTGTGTGTGGTATAAGTGCCAGCTGCGCCTGGTATAAGTGCCAGCTGTGTGTGGTATAAGTGCCAGCTGTGTGTGGTATAAGTGCCAGCTGTGTGTGGTATAAGTGCCAGCTGTGTGTGGTATAAGTGCCAGCTGCGCCTGGTATAAGTGCCAGCTGTGTGTGGTATAAGTGCCAGCTGTGTGTGGTATAAGTGCCAGCTGCGCCTGGTATAAGTGCCAGCTGCGTGTGGTATAAGTGCCAGCTGTGTGTGGTATAAGTGCCAGCTGTGTGTGGTATAAGTGCCAGCTGCGCCTGGTATAAGTGCCAGCTGCGCCTGGTATAAGTGCCAGCTGTGTGTGGTATAAGTGCCAGCTGCGTGTGGTATAAGTGCCAGCTGTGTGTGGTATAAGTGCCAGCTGCGCCTGGTATAAGTGCCAGCTGCGCCTGGTATAAGTGCCAGCTGCGCCTGGTATAAGTGCCAGCTGCGCCTGGTATAAGTGCCAGCTGCGCCTGGTATAAGTGCCAGCATCAACAAAGGGGGTTCCTTCCTGTTCTAGCGTGTTGTAATGTCTGGCAAGATGAGCCACCATGCTCAGTACACTTGTCCTGCCAGGAAGGACAAGTGTCCAACTTTCTCTCTCAGCACTTGGTCAACACGGGACGCTGGAATAACATATATAATGCCTGATAAAGGAGGAAGAAAGATGGACGCAGACAAGGAAGACTAACAAACACAAGAGTGCGTCGTAAGCTTGGTACATAGAAGCAATGACTTGACTAAGTTCCTCCACCTGTAAGGTGGGTGTTAAGTTGCATTAGTCTGCAACATATAAGGTGTTACACAACCCACAAACGTCCCTTCAACAACGAAGCAACACCCAGAAAGCAAAACAGCTTTCGAGAGAAAGAGACAAAATGATTATTATTCGCAGATTGAATGACGCCAGTGATCCTTGGCCCAGAGAATAACATGGCCAGAGCTTTATAGCTGGCTACCTGTCCCGTGACAGGTGAACCATTCAGGTACACCAAGCTGCACCCTTCTCCCCCTTGTAGCGTAGACCTCTTAATTAAGCCCCCTTCTCCCCCTTGTAGCGTAGATATCTTACCTAGAGCACAAGCTCTCAACATACCTGGCCAGGTCTACTGATAACGTTCTATGGTACCTCACTAAGTATACATAGCTTACTCAAGTTGTGTATCCAATTCTTCCAATAAACTTACCACGTAACACACCAGGGGGACATGTTGGGGGGGACATGACAGTGTTGGGGGGGGGACATGACAGTGTTGGGGGGGACATGGCAGTGTTGGGGGGACATGACAGTGTTGGGGGGGACATGTTGGGGGACATGACAGTGTTGGGGGGGACATGACAGTGTTGGGGGGGACATGACAGTGTTGGGGGGGACATGACAGTGTTGGGGGGGACATGACAGTGTTGGGGGGGACATGACAGTGTTGGGGGGGACATGACAGTGTTGGGGGGGACATGACAGTGTTGGGGGGGACATAACAGTGTTGGGGGGGGACATGACAGTGTTGGGGGGACATGACAGTGTTGGGGGGGACATGACAGTGTTGGGGGGGACATGACAGTGTTGGGGGGGACATGACAGTGTTGGGGGGGACATGACAGTGTTGGGGGGACATGGCAGTGTTGGGGGGGACATGACAGTGTTGGGGCGACAGGTGTGGTGTGTCAGCCTTGATGTGACGTCACGTGTAGGAAGAGAGAGCAGCTAGGGGCCGCAGCCTCCACATCAACACCACCATCCCAATTCCTTGTTTACACATGGTTTATGTCGCCACAGTGGATGGGTCGCCACAGTGGATGGGTCGCCACAGTGGATGGGTCGCCACAGTGGATGGGTCGCCACAGTGGATGGGTCGCCACAGTGGATGGGTCGTCACAGGGGATGGGTCGCCACAGTGGATGGGTCGCCACCGGGGGATGGGTCGCCACAGGGGATGGGTCGCCACAGTGGATGGGTCGCCACAGTGGATGGGTCGCCACAGTGGATGGGTCGCCACCGGGGATGGGTCGCCACCGGGGAATGGGTCGCCACCGGGGGATGGGTCGCCACAGTGGATGGGTCGCCACAGGGGATGGGTCGTCACAGTGGATGGGTCGCCACCGGGGGATGGGTCGCCACCGGGGGATGGGTCGCCACCGGGGGATGGGTCGCCACCGGGGGATGGGTCGCCACCGGGGGATGGGTCGCCACAGGGGATGGGTCGCCACAGGGGATGGGTCGTCACAGTGGATGGGTCGCCACCGGGGGATGGGTCGCCACAGGGGATGGGTCGCCATCGGGGGATGGGTCGCCACAGGGGATGGGTCGCCACAGTGGATGGGTCGCCACCTGGGGATGGGTCGCCACCGGGGGATGGGTCGCCACCGGGGGATGGGTCGCCACAGGGGATGGGTCGCCACAGGGGATGGGTCGCCACCGGGGGATGGGTCGCCACCGGGGGATGGGTCGCCACCGGGGGATGGGTCGCCACCGGGGGATGGGTCGCCACAGGGGATGGGTCGCCACAGGGGGATGGGTCGCCACAGTGGATGGGTCGCCACAGTGGATGGGTCGCCACAGTGGATGGGTCGCCACAGTGGATGGGTCGCCACCGGGGGATGGGTCGCCACAGTGGATGGGTCGCCACCGGGGGATGGGTCGCCACCGGGGGATGGGTCGCCACCGGGGGATGGGTCGCCACCGGGGGATGGGTCGCCACCGGGGGATGGGTCGCCACAGTGGATGGGTCGCCACAGTGGATGGGTCGCCACAGTGGATGGGTCGCCACAGTGGATGGGTCGCCACCGGGGGATGGGTCGCCACCGGGGGATGGGTCGCCACCGGGGGATGGGTCGCCACCGGGGGATGGGTCGCCACCGGGGGATGGGTCGCCACCGGGGGATGGGTCGCCACAGTGGATGGGCCGCCACAGTGGATGGGTCGCCACAGTGGATGGGTCGCCACAGTGGATGGGTCGCCACAGTGGATGGGTCGCCACAGTGGATGGGTCGCCACAGTGGATGGGTCGCCACAGTGGATGGGTCGCCACAGTGGATGGGTCGCCACAGTGGATGGGTCGCCACAGTGGATGGGTCGCCACCGGGGGATGGGTCGCCACCGGGGGATGGGTCGCCACCGGGGGATGGGTCGCCACCGGGGGATGGGTCGCCAGCGGGGATGGGTCGCCACCGGGGGATGGGTCGCCACAGTGGATGGGTCGCCACAGTGGATGGGTCGCCACAGTGGATGGGTCGCCACAGTGGATGGGTCGCCACAGTGGATGGGTCGCCACAGTGGATGGGTCGCCACAGTGGATGGGTCGCCACCGGGGGATGGGTCGCCACAGTGGATGGGTCGCCACCGGGGGATGGGTCGCCACCGGGGGATGGGTCGCCACCGGGGGATGGGTCGCCACCGGGGGATGGGTCGCCACCGGGGGATGGGTCGCCACAGTGGATGGGTCGCCACAGTGGATGGGTCGCCACAGTGGATGGGTCGCCACAGTGGATGGGTCGCCACCGGGGGATGGGTCGCCACCGGGGGATGGGTCGCCACCGGGGGATGGGTCGCCACCGGGGGATGGGTCGCCACAGTGGATGGGTCGCCACAGTGGATGGGTCGCCACAGGGGATGGGTCGCCACCGGGGGATGGGTCGCCACCGGGGGATGGGTCGCCACCGGGGGATGGGTCGCCACCGGGGGATGGGTCGCCACAGTGGATGGGTCGCCACAGTGGATGGGTCGCCACAGTGGATGGGTCGCCACAGGGGATGGGTCGCCACCGGGGGATGGGTCGCCACCGGGGGATGGGTCGCCACCGGGGGATGGGTCGCCACAGGGGATGGGTCGCCACGGGGGGATGGGTCGCCACAGGGGATGGGTCGCCACCGGGGGATGGGTCGCCACAGGGGATGGGTCGCCACCAGGGGATGGGTCGCCACAGGGGATGGGTCGCCACCGGGGGATGGGTCGCCACAGGGGATGGGTCGCCACCGGGGGATGGGTCGCCACCGGGGGATGGGTCGCCACAGCTGATGGGTCGCCACAGGGGATGGGTCGCCACCGGGGGATGGGTCGCCACAGCTGATGGGTCGCCACAGGGGATGGGTCGCCACCGGGGGATGGGTCGCCACAGGGGGATGGGTCGCCACAGGGGGATGGGTCGTCACAGTGGATGGGTCGTCACAGTGGATGGGTCGCCACCGGGGGATGGGTCGCCACAGTGGATGGGTCGCCACCGGGGGATGGGTCGCCACCGGGGGATGGGTCGCCACAGGGGATGGGTCGCCACAGTGGATGGGTTGCCACAGTGGATGGGCTGCCACAGTGGATGGGCTGCCACAGTGGATGGGTCGCCACAGTGGATGGGTCGCCACAGGGGATGGGTCGCCACAGTGGATGGGCTGCTACAGTGGATGGGTCACCACAGTGGATGGGTCGCCACAGGGGATGGGTCGCCACAGGGGATGGGTCGCCACAGTGGATGGGCTGCCACAGTGGATGGGTCGCCACAGGGGATGGGTCGCCACAGGGGATGGGTCGCCACAGGGGATGGGTCGCCACCGGGGATGGGTCGCCACCGGGGATGGGTCGCCACCGGGGATGGGTCGCCACCGGGGATGAGTCGCCACAGGGGATGGGTCGCCACAGGGGATGGGTCGCCACAGTGGATGGGCTGCTACAGTGGATGGGTCGCCACAGGGGATGGGTCGCCACAGGGGATGGGTCGCCACAGTGGATGGGTCGCCACAGTGGATGGGCTGCCACAGTGGATGGGTCGCCACAGTGGATGGGTCGCCACAGGGATGGGTCGCCACCGGGGATAGGTCGCCACCGGGGATGGGTCGCCACCGGGGATGGGTCGCCACCGGGGATGGGTCGTCACAGTGGATGGGTCGCCACCGGGGGATGGGTCGCCACCGGGGGATGGGTCGCCACAGTGGATGGGTCGCCACAGGGGATGGGTCGCCACCGGGGGATGGGTCGCCACAGTGGATGGGTCGTCACAGTGGATGGGTCGTCACAGTGGATGGGTCGCCACAGGGGATGGGTCGCCACCGGGGGATGGGTCGCCACAGTGGATGGGTTGTCTAATGGGCAAAGGTTGTCACAGGGGATGGGGGGTAAGTAATTATCAACGGAAGGCACCAAACCGGGAAGGCTATGTAGCACCATCAAATGTGTAGGATAACCAGAGGGCGCTAAATATCACCAAGGATGCCAATACGAGAACAGAAACGCATAAGGCGAACGATATCAAAAGTATCCGAGTCACCAAGAATACTATCGAGGGACAAGTGACCGCGAGGGACGGTCGGAAAGCAGGACACACGCTCGTCCCGGAAGTCAGGACATTCAACAAGGATATGCACGACCATACGAGGGACAATGCCGTTTGGACAATAAGGGGAGAGGGCGGCGCTCCATTAAGTGTACAAGAGTTAGGCGTGTATGGCCAATACGCAACCCAGCCAGAGCCGTTTCCCACCGCCGATTACTGTGGAAGGAGGAAAGCCACGGGGACACACTACTCTTAAGAGCCCACAGTTTGTTAGCAGTAACAGAAGGCCAAAATTCCTGTCAATATGTAAATATGTCTTTTTCTATTATATTTAGAATTATAACAGCAAGTTATTATTAGCAAGTTATTAGTAGTTAATATGTAAATGCTAGGTGAACATGTGCATTAGGTGATAGGAAATGTGCCCAACCATTTCTGTCCCGCTCAGGTCTCGAACCTGAAATTCTCGAGTGTGAGTCGAGAACAAACCTGACTCAATGTCAACCTAACCTAACCTATCCCAACCTAACTCATACCAGCCTAACCTAGGCCAACCTAACTTATCCCAGCCTAACCTATCCCAACCTAACTCATACCAGCCTAACCTAGGCCAACCTAACTTATCCCAGCCTAACCTATCCCAACCTAACTCATACCAGCCTAACCTAGGCCAACCTAACTTATACCAGCCTAACCTAGCCCAACCTAACTTATACCAGCCTAACCTAGGCCAACCTAACTTATACCAGCCTAACCTAGCCCAACCTAACTTATACCAGCCTAACCTAGCCCAACCTAACTTATACCAGCCTAACCTAGCCCAACCTAACTCATACCAGCCTAACCTAGGCCAACCTAACTTATCCCAGCCTAACCTATCCCAACCTAACTCATCCCAGACTAACCTAGCCCAACCTAACTTATACCAGCCTAACCTAGGCCAACCTAACTTATCCCAGCCTAACCTATCCCAACCAAACTCATCCCAGACTAACCTAGCCCAACCTAACTTATACCAGCCTAACCTAGCCCAACCTAACTCATCCCAGCCTAACCTATCCCAACCTAACTCATACCAGCCTAACCTAGGCCAACATAACTTATCCCAGCCTAACCTATCCCAACCTAACTCATACCAGCCTAACCTAGGCCAACCTAACTTATCCCAGCCTAACCTATCCCAACCTAACTCATACCAGCCTAACCTAGTCCAACCTAACTTATCCCAGCCTAACCTATCCCAACCTAACTCATACCAGCCTAACCTAGGCCAACCTAACTTATCCCAGCCTAACCTATCCCAACCTAACTCATACCAGCCTAACCTAGTCCAACCTAACTTATCCCAGCCTAACCTATCCCAACCTAACTCATACCAGCCTAACCTAGGCCAACCTAACTTATCCCAGCCTAACCTATCCCAACCTAACTCATACCAGCCTAACCTAGTCCAACCTAACTTATCCCAGCCTAACCTATCCCAACCTAACTCATACCAGCCTAACCTAGTCCAACCTAACTTATCCCAGCCTAACCTATCCCAACCTAACTCATACCAGCCTAACCTAGTCCAACCTAACTTATCCCAGCCTAACCTATCCCAACCTAACTCATACCAGCCTAACCTAGGCCAACCTAACTTATCCCAGCCTAACCTATCCCAACCTAACTCATACCAGCCTAACCTAGTCCAACCTAACTTATCCCAGCCTAACCTATCCCAACCTAACTCATACCAGCCTAACCTAGTCCAACCTAACTTATCCCAGCCTAACCTATCCCAACCTAACTCATACCAGCCTAACCTAGTCCAACCTAACTTATCCCAGCCTAACCTATCCCAACCTAACTCATACCAGCCTAACCTAGTCCAACCTAACTTATCCCAGCCTAACCTATCCCAACCTAACTCATACCAGCCTAACCTAGGCCAACCTAACTTATCCCAGCCTAACCTATCCCAACCTAACTCATACCAGCCTAACCTAGTCCAACCTAACTTATCCCAGCCTAACCTATCCCAACCTAACTCATACCAGCCTAACCTAGGCCAACCTAACTTATCCCAGCCTAACCTATCCCAACCTAACTCATACCAGCCTAACCTAGTCCAACCTAACTTATCCCAGCCTAACCTATCCCAACCTAACTCATACCAGCCTAACCTAGGCCAACCTAACTTATCCCAGCCTAACCTATCCCAACCTAACTCATACCAGCCTAACCTAGGCCAACCTAACTTATCCCAGCCTAACCTATCCCAACCTAACTCATACCAGCCTAACCTAGGCCAACCTAACTTATCCCAGCCTAACCTATCCCAACCTAACTCATACCAGCCTAACCTAGGCCAACCTAACTTATCCCAGCCTAACCTATCCCAACCTAACTCATACCAGCCTAACCTAGGCCAACCTAACTTATCCCAGTCTAACCTATCCCAACCTAACTCATACCAGCCTAACCTAGGCCAACCTAACTTATCCCAGCCTAACCTATCCCAACCTAACTCATACCAGCCTAACCTAGGCCAACCTAACTTATCCCAGCCTAACCTATCCCAACCTAACTCATACCAGCCTAACCTAGGCCAACCTAACTTATCCCAGCCTAACCTATCCCAACCTAACTCATACCAGCCTAACCTAGGCCAACCTAACTTATCCCAGAAGGATAATACTGATAATAACACAAACTATAATTTAAAACCTTTATTACTGATTTTTGTATTAAGTAGCTTAGGCATACACAGCAATGTGCTGCTACCCTATTCCATATGAAAGATTAAAGTGTAGATCAAAAACTAGCTATAAGTTCATCTAATACTCCCATCTCACAGGACGGCCAGTCATACATGGCATCAGGAGAGAACAAGAAATGTAAGGCTGATCTATTAGCCTCCACTGGCAAAATCTGGGTATAGCACAAGAATATCTTCCAATATTCCTGAGTGTATGAAGTAATTACAGAGCTCAAAATACCTCATACCATTTGGTCTGAAGTCACTGATAACAGGGCAATCATAGATATGGTGTTGGAGAGTATCTTCTCTCAAGTAGGACTGAAAACAAGTTTTTATACCCAGAGTTTTAAAACCCATGGAACTGCCTACCCGCTGAAGCCGTAAATGCCAAAATCAAGCTAGAAAATATATAAATATATACTACACATTAAGAAGTCAACACCAGCAATAAACAGCCAATTAATGCACAACTATATTCTACCCACTTCAAGACTCCGTACCAATATAGAAGCATCAAGAAATATGGGCCAATAGGCCCTTTGCAGTTACTTCCATTCTTCCCTTTAACTTACAAAATATTATACCCATTGTTTCGTGTTCTGTCTTGTGTTGAAAGTTTGTTTTCACCTCATCCAAAACTGTTGTAACATATCACCTCACCCAAATGCGGGTATAAAATCAAAGCTGTTTAAACTCTGTTTAGTGTTTGCAGGTTATAGTTGTGTGTGTGTAAACTAAAGTCTTTGAAAATGTAATAAGTTATTACGAAACGCGTTCAAGTGTCGCGTCAGACTAGAAATAAAAAGGAATTTTGGAGAATTGATTTTTCAATTACCATCAACAGTGAAAAAAAGTAAATATATACGTAAATAAATACCATCGTTGACCAGACCACACACTAGAAGGTGAAGGGACGACGACGTTTCGGTCCTTCCTGGACCATTCTCAAGTCGACCTAAATACCATCGCTTCTCAAGTCTTGGGAGCGACAAGGAAAGCTACACACTATCTCATAGAATTACGTAGGTAAACAACAAATTTAACATATTTGTTTACTACAATGTCAGTGCTGACTGTACAATTTGAAAGAAAAAAAATATTTTATTTCGAAATATACTAATTTTATAAGAAATTTGACGTAAATAGGTGGCAAGTGATGACATATAAGCTCCGTTATTGCCAGCGTCGTGATTGGCTACAGCTGTAAAATGAAAAATGTTACCTTTTCTCTGATTGGCTAAACGAAAAGCCATAGTGACATCTAGTGAGACTTAAGTGAAATTGCTAAAATCTTAGCAAGTAAATTTTCCTGAATCGGACGTAGGAACGTTCTTAGGCAATACTTAAGAACCTCCGTAACACACCTACTTACGAAGAAACAGATGGAGCTTCGTGAATCTAGGTCCAGGTCCCAAATTTGCACAGTAGAATAACAACATACTGGAGTGAAAGATACGGAAGGAAATGCAGAACAGAACCAGTGAAGAGTAGAGGCACAATCAGAGAACACTGAACATCAGAGGTCCACAGCTGTTCAACACCCTCCCAGCAAGCATTATAAATATTGCTGGAACAAAGGTGGATGTATTCAAGAGGCACTTGGACAGGTTCTTGCAAGAAGTGCCGGACCAACCAGTCTGTAGTGGCAGCTCCAAGTAACAGCCTGTTGGACCACATTATCACAAGTTGAGCCTGGCCCCAGGCCGGGCTCGGGGAGTAGAAGAACTCCCAGAACCCCAACAATCAGGTATGCTCCAGGGGCCAGGTTCACGAAACAGTTACGCAAGCACTTACGAACCTGT